CTTCACAGACAACTAGTATAATGCATGCTCTCCCTTGCTGTTTTTATGTTGTGTTTATGGATGTACCATTTACTGGCAAATCTTTCCAAAATCCAACTGCTTGCGTGCTGTAGGACTATCAATGGTTTTCTCAGGCCAAAAAACATGGAAACTGTACAAGTTCTCAGATACCCAATAGGTTAATATTTGTGCTACATGATTATAGTACTACTTTCATGTGGCAATTAGGTAGATTATTGAAAACAATTAGACTTGACTTGAGAATGAAGGTATTGCATAGTTTCATTTAAAAAACAAAATCACTTTCAAAACTGGTAAACTATTTTATAACTGCAGCATAAAGTTAACCACAAACCTAAAAGGCCTTGAACAGATTTTCCATTGGAGCAGTGTTCCCTCCTCTACTCCCCCTCAGTTTGGACTGAGGCATAAATCTGTTCTACCATGAGATATTCCCAATGTAGCCATGAACCATGACGAGTTAAGGTCACTGAATGGTGAACAGTTTCATTTAAAAAACAAAAACAAAAAATCCTAGAAACTTTGAAACTAAAAATAACCGAGTTGGAATTTGTGGTCATGGTCAAACAGTGATAAAATCAAGAACAGATAAAGCCACAAATAGAACTAAGATTTGCAGACTTGGTTTTGTTGAAGCAGGGGAGCCCGTGCTATTTAATCAAAAGCACAAAGCATCAAGTGTTTGTTACAGTGAACAGAAAAGCCAAAGCTTGAAGAATTCTAAAATTCAGTGCAGAAGACAGATTGTCTAAAGTAAAGCAGCAATGCAGAAAAGGTAAAAGAAACAGAGAAGTGCGACACTTGTGTGCTTAAAAAAGTGTTCATCAAAAAATCTAATGCGACTCGGGTGAGAGCACAGGTGCCACCTGTGATAGGCGTTCTAGAATCATGGGTAATGTGGTAATGCTATTTTAAACAGTAGTTGGTTGAATTTTGCCCCCTCTCTCCTTCATATGAAACTACTCAGTAACAGTGAGGGTATAACATCATCCCATGCCCCCACACCCTATAGGATGTGGTAAAGTACACCTAAAACAACAAAAAACTGACTTTTATTCACAGGTATGATCTAGCGTGTTGTGCACTAACAGGCCCGTGGGGACCCTATTGGGGTCCACAGAGTTCCCTAGTGTGGGTCTGAAACATGACTGCATGCACAAGGGCCAGTTAGTGTGCACTAAAATTTACATCCCTCTAGTGCAGACGAGCCCTAATTCATTAACAGGCCCAATAGCTTTGGAGCCCATTACCAGATGTGGCTTTGAGACCACCATCCATACCCTGGGCCAGTTTTGTCTTTTCTACTTATTCAGAGAGTGAAGGGCGGAGCATTAATCAAGTTGTTTTGGTTCAGCAAATGCTTTAAAGGTCATTTGTAAATTTAAAACCTCCATAGGTTTACAAAGTACTATTGATTTGATATCCAGGTCCTTACCCATGCTGATCGCAGTGGCATTTGACAGCCACACCATGCAACTGGGTGGGCAAAGAGTTCTGAGTAGGAAACATTTGAGCATAAAAGAAAATGCTGTTAGTGCCATAATGTGCCTTGGGCAGATTGTGTTTCAAGGAGAAAAAACCTACTCTGAAATGAGTGTTTTAATATTCAGTGTATGGCATTAAAGTTTTGCCCAAGACCAAGGAAGGGAGAAAAGCAGGACAAAGCAGAATTATCCATTTCAGCTTTGCAAAGTGATAAAGACAAGCTGAAAATATTCTCATTACCCAGAAAAAAAAAAAAAGGACCATTGGTGTCAGTTTCCTGCTCCCCCCCAAGCACCACAGAGGAGGCTAGAGGTAGGCTAAACGACACGAGATACAGCTGCTCTGAGCTGCCAGTCATCATTATTTGTATTATCATATCGCCTCGGAGTCCCACAGAGGAGGTGGCTGGTGGGCCCGAGTGGGAGTGGAGCAAAGTACGGAGTTGTATCAGGTGTAGGGGCAAGAGATTGAGCTGAGAGGGGAAGGGGCGGGTGCATTTAGATACACAAGAAATGCCTGGGGAGACTGGTGGGAAGAAGAAGAAATCCACCACTGACATGGCCTATGCCAAATCCATTTCAAATGTGTCTGTCAGCGCTCTGACCTGATGTCTAGGATTGAGAGAGATGGGTCTGAGCTTTTCAGCTACAGTAAAGTAATTCAGAGACCGTTATTTACGCCAGAAAAGCAAGCGATAGACTTTGCAGAACAAGCTTTGTAGCAAAATAAACTCTAGTTTGATTACTCATTGAGCAACACACAATTTCCTTCTATTTTGGGAAAGGGATGGCCTCTCTAATGCTTAGTTATAGCCTCACAATTGCAAGTTTAGCTGCTACCACGAGGGACCGTTTACTTTTCAAGTTAATCCTTGATTTACATAGACAATTAAAAAAAGAAAGACCCACAAACACAGTCTATTAAAAACATTTGAAGCATGTCTGGAACACAAGTCATGAGGGCTATAAAGACAGCATCAATCTGAATCAACACAGGATAATACTGAATGTCATGGACCAATTAAATGTGAAGTACGTGGCAAAGATGAAAAACAGAAATTTATGAAGACATAAATGCTCTTTCCAGAGAATACTGAAAGCTGGTTTTATGGTTTCAGGTCTGAAAGATGGAGTTATGTAATTTGCAGAAAGCATGAAAAGTCCTCTTGTAGGGAATCTGTTCTAAATGGCTTACCACCAATTACACGTACACAAGCTGTCTGCTGCTCACGCGAAATGCACAGAAACAGAAAATGTCACTTTGTCCACACGAAATTCCTATTACTGGATTGCTCCAAGAAATGCAACATGAAGAGATTCAGAAGTTTGTCTCTTTGATTAATATGGTTTACATGGCCACTAAGTATTTTTTTTAAATCCTGTCAAAACACTACTGTGCACACTCCTCCTGGGGAGAGAATGAGAACAAACAAGTAACGGCTATGAGTCACATGACTTAACACACAAGTGGAAGCGCTCAGACACTACACTGATAAGCATGGTATGAGAACTTATAGTGTTTTAGGGATTTGAAATGCTGCAAAAATGGCCTTAAATCTTGGACCAAATAATATTAGCATCGATAAGTGAGACATTAGAGGCAATTGCAAAGTCAGAGGCAAACATCTCAGAAATGCACGAAAAAAAAGAGCTAGTCTTATTAATGCATCCCCTGACAGCAAATGCTTTAGAGTTGCGTATATCAGATTTAGGTGGGGAATCTTGTACTCTGACCCAGACTCTGAATCTGGGACAGCTGATGGGAATCACATGGAATAAAACTGCTTTAGGAGTTGTGAGGAACCAAGGCAAAAAATCTCAAAGAAGAACAACTGGACCGGAATTTCAATGGCACAACAGTGAAAATGGGCCTGCACACCTCTTCAATAGCCAAATTTAGAGAAGATGTCTTCATTCCACCCGGCATCAAGCAACATTCTTAAGATCATGACAAGTGATTTGTGGGTAGATTGTTCTGTTGAGTCAGCATTTGAAAGAAAGCGACCATGTGAGTACTGCCACTGAGTGCAGGGGTGTTGCACTCGTGATCAGCAGCAATGGAGTTGATGGTGATCATATTTTTTCTGGACTCCTCCAATTTAAAAGTCACTCATCTGACTGAAAAAACAGCACAGAATCAGAGAAGTTACTGAGCAATTTATTAACTGGCAGAGAAACAGTTACAAATCTGTGCGTGCTTAGCTGCTTTGTAATCACAGATTTAGGAAGCTACTTTAACAGTGAAGAACCCCCAAACTGGATCAAAAAGGCAATCACTATATGCACAATCGCTCCACAGAATCACACGTATAAACACAATGTGAATTAATAGTCTACCCAACAGGCCATTCGTAGAACTGGAAGGGACCCCGAGAGGTCATCTAGTCCAGCCCCCTGCACTCATAGCAGGACTAAGTTATCTAGATCAGGGGTTCTCAACCTTTTTCTTTCTTTCTGAGCCTCCCCCCCGACACCCCCTCCCCAACGTGCTATAAAAACTCCACGGCCCACCTGTGCCACAACAACTGTTTTTCTCATATCCAGTAGATTAAAAGACAGGGCCGGCATTAGGGGGCAGCAAACAGGGAATTGCTGGGGGGCCCCATGCCACAGGGGTCCCCACAAAGCTAAGTTGGTTGGGCTTTGGCTTTCTGCCCAGGGCACCAGTAAGTCTGATGCCAGCCCTGCTTTCTAGTTTATTTTGGCAGACCTCCTGAAACCTGCTTGCAGCTCCACAGGGGCCATGGAACCCCCGGTTGAGAGCCGCTAATCTAGACCATCCCTGACAGGTGTTTGTCTAACCTACTCTTAAAAATCCTCCAATGATGGAGATTCTACAACCTCCCGAGGCAATTTATTCCAGTGCTTAACCACTCCGACAGTTGGGAAGTTTTTCCTAATATCAACCTAAACCGCCATTGCTGCAATTTAAGCCCATTGCTTCTTGTCCTATCCTCAGAGGTTAAGGAGAACAATTTTTCTCCCTCCTCCTTGTAACCACCTTTTATGTTAAGTTCAGTTATATTGTACAACATGGGAAAGTTGACATTTCCTAGGAGATCTTCTATATCACCGACACAGCCCTGAGGATTTCCATTTGTCTCAGCTTTAACCCCTGCCTCTGTAAGACCTCATATCACAACCATCTTCTTCCACCACTGAGCAGCTCCTCATTTGTCTAGAGGAGTAACTAACAGGTAATCCCAAAGACTCCCTTTCCTATCAAGGCCTAACCATTCTGTACCTTCAAGCAGCTTACGGTAAGGGGAACCTAGATCACCTGTACAGTAGCACAGAGATCCACCAATAGGCTGGTGAAAGCAACACATTTATTTTGACCAAACAGCATTTTCACACAAGACCGATCTCAAGACTAAAATGGCAGAGATTTAATTGAATAAATACAGGATTCAAATCCAGCACTTTGACATTCACGTAACCCATCACAGTTAGAGTGATAGAAAACAAGGCAGCAATTGTTTAAGGTTACAGTACCTGACTGGAAGACGTATCTGGCTAAGCCTTGCATTAACTCTGCCGGCCATGTAGGTGGCGCTGACTCCCCTGTTTCTCTCTTTAGTCGAAACGTCAACTCGAATCCAAAACCACTTGGCCCATCCGTTCCTGTAAATCTGGAGGGAAGGAAAAGCAAAAAGGTCACATATTTCACCTTAACAAGGGTGGACCTAAGGATTACGTAGATGTGAGCAGCAGATGATATGCTTGGCACTGGTTTTCAAGAGGTTATGCCTTTTCTTTTCTTCCTAGGACGAATAAGGAGTTCAGGGCTTCTCTAGTTGTGTTTAAATCTACATGCATCCAAATGGCACAGAATCATTAGGTTAGCCAGCTAGTTTCTGCATAAAACTAATACAGTAATTCAGAAATTTAAAAATAATTTTTCTCAACACAGTATTCTGGGATATGGCATGGAATATTCTATACTGAAGACAGGTCAACGGAAAAAAGTGGAAAGAGGTGAAAAAGTCTTACTATAAGCACTGATTTAATCCCTTCAGCTACTTCAGTGTGTGTGTTGTGGATGTCAGCAGTCCACTGGAACTAGCACTAGAGGTGCATTTTGTCCAGAGGATCCAGATATGGTAGGCAGCACTGAAAGTGTTAAACAGGAAACTGACTACAGAAGAAACAGGGTGAATGCTTGGCTAATTACTTTTGTAGAAGTTAGGTGGCAGGTTTATTGGATTGTATTTTGCAAGCTCTACTCAGGAGAGTAAGGCCACATTGGCAGAGGTGGGGGGATCAAGTCTGAAATGTAGGCAAGACTGTCCAGTGGAAAAGTAGTAAGGCTTTTGATATTGTCTCACATGACCTTCTCAGAAACAAACTAGGGAAATACAACCTAGATGGAGCTACTATGAGGTGGGTGCATAACTGGTTGGAAAACTGTTCCATGAGAGTAGTTACCAGTGGTTCACAGTCAAGCTGGAAGGGCATATTGAGTGGGGTACCGCATGGATCAGTTCTGAGTCCGGTTCTGTTCAATATCTTCATCAATTGTTTAGATAACGGCATAGAGAACACTTATAAAGTTTGTGGACTATACCAAGCTGGAGGATGTTGCAAGTGCTTCGGAGGATAGGATTAAAATTCAGAACGATCTGGACAAACTGGAGAAACATTTTGACGTAACAGGATGAAATTCAATAAAGGACAAATGCAAAGTACTCCACTTAGGAAGGAACAATCTGTTGCACCCATATAAAATGGGAAATGACTGCCTAGGAAGGAGTACTGTGGAAAGGATTCTGGGGGTCAGTGGATCACAAGCTAAATATGAGTCAGTAACACTGTTGGCCAAAAAAAGAGCAAACATTCTGCAATATATTAGTAGGGGTGCAGTAAGCAAGACAAGTAGTAATTCTTCTGCTCTACTCTATGCTGACTAGGCCTCAACTTGAGTATTGTGTCCAGTTCTGGGCACCACATTTCAGGAAAGATGTGGACAAACTGGAGAGAGTCCAAACGAGAGCAACAAAAATGTTTAAAGGTCTAAAAATCATGACCTATAAGGGAAGACTGAAAAAACTGGGTTTGTTAGTCTGGAGACGAGAAGACTGAGGGGGGAAATGATAACGGTTTTCAAGTACATAAAAAGTTGTTATAAGGAGGAGGGGAAAAAATTGTTCTCCTTAACCTCTGAGCATCAAGCAATGGGCTTAAATTGCAGCAAGTGCAGTTTAGGCTGTGGAATCTCCATCGTTGGAGGTTTTTAAGAGCGGTTATAAAAAAACCTGTCAGGGATGGTCTAGATAATACTTAGTCCTGCCTTGAGTGCAGGGGACTGGACTAGGATACCTCTCCAGGTCCCTTCCAGTCCTATGATTTCTGGCGTTAATATCATTAGTCCTTCACTCTGAGTTCTACATTTTACACTCACACAGAAAGGAAAATGTCTGCTCTCACAGATGCCGAAGACTGACAAAACATCAGACTTGCTGTGAAATTTCTAAGCCACATGTACAAATATTTAAGTCCACAAAATTTGAGACCAGTTAGTGACGCTAGCCTCCTTCATACTAGTGCCATCACATCCCTTACTTGCTTGTTATGGCTGTGCCACGAAGTTCAAAGCAGGCATCACACAGACACAAGCCTTCATAAGCCAGTGCCATTCTGTAAGTTGCATAAATTTGCAAGAAACTTTATGTAACTGGCAAAGTTCATGGAAAAAGTGAATTTCTTGGATCCAGGTCCCTTGCTGACATCTATGAAAGATAGAATGTTAACACCTTCTGCATTATATTTATACTAAAAACACCCAAACAGGGCAGTCAAAAAGCTCACTAGAGTGTTTCCCAGTTCTGGTGCAGGGACCACCCGGGTGCTCAGAGCACTTCCAGGTGCCATAATGGCAAAGAATGTGTCTCTTCACATAGAGATACTTCCCAGAAATTCTGGGATAGACAACGGCTCTCAGGATTTTGAGACTAACAAAAAAAACCAAAACCCAAGTACTACTGTGTACTCTCCAGAGCTGCATCGTCATTAGGCTTGACAGAATTCTATTTTTTTTTTTTTTGTAATTGCAACAGATAATATTGATTTTTATTACTAAACACTTTTTTTATTTTTATAAATTTAAATTTACAGTTGTAGGAAATTACAGGGGAGTCAAACAGTAGAGTATCAGACAATTATTTAATGACAGTAGATCGTTATAAACCTTTAACTTTTGAATCTAAACATTAAAAACACAAATTGTCAACATCACATCAAAATATACAACATAAATATCCTTAAATCACACTAAGTTCTTAAGCAGCCGTAAGTTTCTTTCTTTGCCTATCTGTAAATTTCGATTATTGATGGAAATATTTTCATGGGTTTGTTGTACAGTGAAATCGACATTTACTGACATTTACAGATAAAAGTCAAATCATGCCAAGCCTAATCATAACTATCTTTGTTGAGGTTTCTTTGATGCAAGTTTGATCCAATTTGCAGATGATGAAACTGGAGAGGCAGCAAATATACCCAAGGACAGGACCAAGCTATGAAATAACCTGAAGAGATTAGAGCAGCTGTAATTGCAGGCAATGAGAGAAGTTACTGAAAGACTAAGCACAGGGGAGAAAAGAAACAGAAAAGAAAAATTAAATATCTAACTAACCAGCTCTACTCTACACACTCAAGCATGTTCGTTTTCATCTTGACTACCTAATACACTCCATCACTGGCATAGAGAAAAAGCGTATCTGTATTGAATGGGAAGAGACTGTCTAGGAAGGAGTATGGCAGAAAGGGATCTAGGGGTTATAGTTGACCACAAGCTAAATATGAGTCAACAGCGTGATGCTGTTGCAAAAAAAGCAAACATGATTCTGGGATGCATTAACAGGTGTGTTGTGAGCAAGACACGAGAAGTCATTCTTCCGCTTTACTCTGCGCTGGTTAGGCCTCAACTGGAGTATCGTGTCCAGTTCTGGGCACCACATTTCAAGAAAGATGTGGAGAAATTGGAGAGGGTCCAGAGAAGAGCAACAAGAATGATTAAAGGTCTTGAGAACATGACCTATGAAGGAAGGCTGAAAGAATTGGATTTGTTTAGTTTAGAAAAGAAAAGACTGAGAGGGGACATGATAGCAGTTTTCAGGTATCTAAAAGGGTGTCATAAGGAGGAGGGAGAAAACTTGTTCACCTTAGCCTCTAAGGATAGAACAAGAAGCAATGGGCTTAAACTGCAGCAAGGGAGGTTTAGGTTGGACATTAGGAAAAAGTTCCTAACTGTCAGGGTGGTTAAACACTGGAATAAACTGCCTAGGGAGGTTGTGGAATCTCCATCTCTGGAGATATTTAAGAGTAGGTTAGATAAACGTCTATCAGGGATGGTCTCGACAGTATTTGGTCCTGCCATGAGGGCAGGGGACTGGACTCGATGACCTCTCGAGGTCCCTTCTAGTCCTAGAATCTATGAATCTGCTGCAAACAAGACAGACCTGGTATTCAAGAATGGCTAGTCAAGGGGTGCAAATACATAATTCCAAGAAGCTAATGTAGCTTGCAGTAACAAGCCACAATAAATGCATAATTACAGACTGTGCATAAACCATGGAAGTGCTTATTGGTTACCCAGACAGATTGGGTATGGAATTGAATTTTGATTAGTGGAGCCTGTCTTAAGTGAGCACTTACGAGGACCAACCAAAAAGGCTGCTTTAGGGAGGGAAGGTGGGCGAGGTAATATCTTTTATTAGACCAATTTTTGTTGATGAGATAGAGAAACTTTGGAGCCAAAGAAAGCTCTTCTTTAGGTCTGGGAAAGGAACTCACAGGTTACAGCAAAATGCAAGGTGGAACAGATTGATTAGCATAAGTAGTTAACGCGTACTGTAAGAGACCATTCAAAGCGGAGTGGCCCATTAACACCTCTGCAGTCAGAGGACAAAAAGAGGGGGTTAGTGGATTACAGACTGTTGTAATAAACCATAAACCTAGTTTCCCTGTTCAGTCTATGATTTTTGGTGTCTAGCAGAGTAATGAATTTAAGCTCCCAGGCTCGCCCTTTGAAAGTGTTGTGCAGGTATCCTTTGAGGATGAGGCACCATTTGGGAGCAGTAAATGTGTGAATTCTGTGAGAGCCCAGTGGACCAGGCCAGAGGTTCGACATTCCAGGGAGATGCTCGCAGGGCTCGGGTGTGCTGTAGAGTGTCAGTGGGGCACCGGCTTGTGTTGCCCATGGCTAGGGCAGGTGCTGATGCAGGGCAGACACAGACAAAACTTCCTCACCCTAAGGGCAGGGGGTAGTGAGGTGTCTTGCAACTAGCTATGAAGAATATTCTCTTCAAGGCCACTTCCAAGCCTTACATCAACTGTCATGTTCAATCACTTAAAGCTACCATATAATGTGATCATCTGAATTAACGTATTTATTGTTTTAGGGCAAGATGCACAACCCTCTCTCAAACTGGTGAGCGCTTACACAAGCAGTTCCACTGAAGGCACTGGGACTATTCGTGTGAGTGCTCACCAACATGTGTAAGGTTTGCACAACTGGGTTCTTCACTAGTTTGTTCTCACTCTGTAGATATCTAGTTCTAATGTAAACAACGGGAATCTTAAAATACAACTATGAACTCTACTGAAACAAGCACAAACAAAGATGTTCTTC